TACAATGACAGTATAAGAATAATAATTTTGAAAAAGATATAGACCAGCAAGGATTGATAATAGGAAAGAAAATGACAGAAGACTAGGCAGCAACAATTTTGGAAGATGGATAAGTGGTAATTGATTTAGTGGGGTGGGGGGAGCCTGAAATTTGCCTATAGAGGAGAGAGACAGAGAAACCAGTAAGAAGTGAGCCACGTCACACTGCAGAACCCCGGGAAGGATCAGGGATTGAAACTGCCAGGTATTTCTGACGGCACACATGCAGGGTGGGGCTGAAAACAGGAGAGTTGGTTGGAGGTGTGTAGAAGGATTAAATCCCTAGAAATGTCCCTCTCTGTGCTGCCCACCTCTCTATCCCAACAGAATATAGTCACCTTTGAACCAGGGAGGCTCTGGACATGAAAACACCAAGCCACTATGAGGACAGCAGTAAGGGGCCATATTTAAAAGAAGTGGATAGGGCGCCTGGGTGGCTCAGATGGTTAAGCGTCTGCCTTCGGCTCAGGTCATGATCCCAGGGTCCTGGAATCGAGTCCCGCATTGGGCTCCCTGCTCCTTGGGAGCCTGCTTCTCCCTCTGCCTCTCTCTCTCTCTATGTCTCTCATGAATAAATAAATAAAAATCTTTTAAAAAATAAAAAATAAAATAAAAGAAGTGGATAAAACAGAGGAGTGAGGAATGAGATCCTCAGCTCTTTCCCATGCTTATTTATACCTCCAAAGCAGTATAATGGAAGAGTCCCCTCGGCAAACTGATCAGCCAAAAAGAAAAGAGCTTTAGATATTGACATGGAGTCTTTAAGCACATGTCCAGGTCCCTACCTCCCCATCAGCTTCCAATCAGCTTTCTGGTTATCTCATTCTTGTGTGTGTACACCTGTTTGCAACTCTCATTTTAAACATGAATGTACAGAGATCACCGGACTTTGAAGAAAGCCAGAAAAACAGAGACTAAAACTGGCAAAACAAAGCAAATCAGAGAAACAAAGCAGGTAAGCAAAGGGGAAAAAATCAGTAATATTCATAGACCAGTTCTCAAACTTGGTTGCACATTAGAATCAACTGGAAATCTTTTCTCTCTCTCTTTTTTTTAAGAGAGCATGTGTGCAAGCAGGAGTGGGGGTGGAGGGGAGGATCAGAGGGAGAGAGAGAATCTTTTTTTTTGTAAAATTATTTATTTATTTATTTATTTATTTATTTATTTATTTATCACCCAGCTGCCCCGGGAGAGAGTGAATCTTAAGCAGGCTCCATGCCCAGCACAGAGCCAGACACGGGGGTTGATCTCAAGACCCCGACATAACCTGAGTCAAAATCAAGAACTGGACACTCAACTGACTGAGCCACCCAGGTGCCCTGGAGATCTTTTATTTTATTTTATTTATTATGTTTTTAAATTTTTTTAGTGAGTTCTACACCCAATGTGGGGCTCAAACTCACAACCCTGAGATCAAGAGTCACATGCTCCACCGACTGAGCCAGCCAGGTGCCCCAACTGGAGATCTTTTAAAGAAAAGTTTCCTTGGGATGCCTGGGTGGCTCAGCTGGTTAAACATCTGCCCTCAGCTCAGGTCATGATCCCAGGGTCCTGGGATCGAGCCCCGCGTCGGGCTCCCTGCTCAGCAGGGAGTCTACTTCTCCCTCTCCCTCTGTGATCTCTCTCACTTTCACTCTCTCAAATAAATAAAATCCTTTTTTTAAAAAAAGAAAAATACAAAAATAAAAACATGTTTATTTATTTATTTTAAAGATTTTATTTATTCATTTGAGACAGAGAGATAGAGAGAGAGAGATGAGCAGGGGGCGCGATAGAGGGAGAGGGAGAAGCAGACTCCCTGCTGAGCAGGGAGCTGGACGCAGGGCTCAATTCCAGGACCTGGGGATAATGACCTGAGCTGAAGGCAGACGCTTAACCAACTGAGCCACCCAGGCACCCCTAAAAACATGTTTAAAAAAAAATTGAAAAGCCTTTAGGCAAATTATCTAAAAAAAAAAAGATTCAAATAACTAAAATCAGAAATGAATGTGGAGACAGTAATACCAATTCCACAGAAATAAAAAGTAGAGAGTACTATGAACAACAAATTGGATAACCATTGAATAATGTATAGAATTGTTAAATCAGTATGTTTGTACCCCTGAAACTAATATACCATTGTGTGTTAATTATAAATTTTTTAAAAAGTACCTAAGGGGGGGCACCTTTTATCTTGGGGTCATTTGAGCCCCACAATGGGGTAGAGATTGCTTTAAAAAAAAAAAAGTACCTAAGGTCAGATCATTCAGGGCCTCCCAGGCAATAACACAGTTGAACAGATTAAAAAAAAAAAAAAAGGAAGGTTGAACAGAGTAAATTAGTGGCAGTAACTCCTCACTCACCTACATAGTATGCAGCCCCTCCTGTCATGGTGTCATGGTAAGCCCAGGATGCTTCCTTATCTTTTGATTGTGGGTTGGACCATGTGACTTGCTCTGGGAGGTGAAAAACCAACAACAGATTGGTTAACCTAGATGAAATGAACAAATTTCTAGAAATACAAAGTAGAAAGTCTGAAAGACCGATAGCTAATAAGGAGATTGAATCGGTAATCAAAATTTTTAAATCAAAGTAGAACAGGGGCGCTTGGGTGGCTCAGTCATTAAGTGTCTGCCTTCGGCTCAGGTCATGATCCCAGGCTCCTGGGATCGAGCCCTGCATCGGGCTCCCTGCTCTGCAGGAAGCCTGCTTCTCCCTCTCCCACTCCCCCTGCTTGTGTTCCCTCTCTCGCTGTGTCTCTCTCTGTCAAATAAATAAATAAAATCTTTAAAAAAAATAAAAATAAAAAAATAAAGTAGAACAGGTAGGTTGCTGGTTGGCAGGGAATGGGGGGGTGGAAGAAATGAATTTTTTTTTTAATAAATTGAATAGAATTTTCTCTTTTTTTAAAGATTTTATTTATTTGAGAGAGAGAGAGAGCATGAGCAGGGGGAGTGGGAGAGGGAGAAGTAGGCCTCCCGCCGAGCAGGGAGCCTGATGCAGGGTTTGATCCCAGGACCCTGAGATCATGACCTGAGCTGAAGGCAGCTTAACTGACTGAGCCACCCAGGCACCCCTATCCATCTTGTTTTTTGATACATCTCAAAGGAAGTTGCAGACATCAATACACTTCACCCCTAAACACTTTGTCATGCATATAATTAACTGGAGTTCAATATTTATTTATGGTTCTTTTGTCAGGTGAAATTTATAGTGAAATGTACAAATCATATTACCATTTGATTTTTTAAAAAAATATTTTATTTATTTGAGAGTGAGCAAAAGACCACAAACAGGGGTGGGGTGGGGAAGCAGAGGGAGAAACAGACTTCCCGTTGAGCAGGACCCTGGGATCATGACCTGAGCCAAAGGCAGACGCTTAACTGAGCCACCCAGGCGCCCTTACCATTTGATGATTTTTAAAACTACAGCTTTATTGGAGTGCCTGGCTGGCTCAGTTGATGAACATGCGATTCTTGATCTCGGGTTTGTGAGTTCAAACCCCACGCTGGGGATAGGGTTTACTTTAAAAAAAAAAAATTACAGCTTTATTGAGATATAATTTGTACTTCATGAAGTTCACCCTTGTAAAGTGTACAGTTCAGTGGTTTTTTTGGTCTGTTCACAACGTTGTGCCTTGATCACCACTAATTCCAGAACATTTTTATCACCCCCAAAAGAAATCCCATTTTCATTAGCAGCCGTTCTCCATTCTTCCCTCCCTCCAGTCCCTGGCAACCAGTAACCTATTCTGTCTCCGCAGAATTGCCCATTCTGGGCATTTCATATAAATGGAGTCACAGATGGCCTTTTGGATTTGGCTTCTTTCACTCAGCATCTTTTCAAGGTTCACCCAAGTTGTAATTTGATGGGCTTTGACCTGCATAATGAGCAGGGGCTTCTTCATCAGCATTTCTCAGAAAGGAGTCTTTACATCAAATTCTCCAAGGGGTCTGGGATTCAACAAAGGAACAGGGAATCTCTAAGGGAAAACTGGAACACTGGTTTCAAAGTCCACCCCTTTGCAAACACTTGCGTGGACGGATTTGCCTGGAAGAACCCACCTTTCTGCAGAAGTAAGACCTTGAGGGTAGCTGAGAGGAGCACAAGGCTTGTAGCCTTGCCAAAGAACCATCAAGGAAGGGGCTCCAGGACCTCCCAAAGGAAACAGTGGACGACCGTCACCAGAGAGAGGCACCCTGGCTTCTAAACGTTCTGGGGCCACAAAGCAGCTTACGTGCAAAACCAGTAGAGGCTGGGGCAGCCTCAGCCACTCCCATGGAGGCCAACCCTAATGAACAATTGAGAAGCAGGAAGGTGGGCAGAGAACCCAGAACTATGCAAGCCAAGCCCATCTGTTGCTCAGAAAAGGATATAAATTTGCCCTCAGGAAACTCTAGGGCGCCTGGGTGGCTCGGATGGTTAAGCGTCTGCCTTTGGCTCGGGTCATGATCCCAGGGTCCTGGAATCGAGTCCCGCATGGGGCCCCCTGCTCAGCGGGGAGCCTGCTTCTCCCTCTGCCCCTCTCTCTCTTCCTCTCTGTGTCTTACGAATAAACAAATAAAATCTTAAAAAAAAAAACAACAACAACTCTCATTTCTAGTCTTTTTCCCTGATTCTCCCGAAAAAAAATTTTTTTTTTTTTTTTAAATCACAGCCTAGTCTGAGCCTTCTGTACCTCTAACCAGGACAAAAGAGCTCAGCCTGGCTTAGCCACACTCCTGAGAGATGGGGAGTCTGCCAAGTGGAGAGCTGGGATCCCCGATCTGGCACTCCCAAAAAGGAGCACGCCAGCCCTACATTGAGAACAGTGTAATTAAAGAAATAACATTTATTTTTAAAAATAAAAGACCTGAAGCAAACAAGTTAAAGTGAGAAGATTCAACCGAATCGAGTGGTGGATACACAGGTGTTTCCTCTACTCACTGTGTGATTTAAAGATTTCATTTTAAAACCATAAATGAAGAAATGAAACAGACATGTAACATTCACTTAGTCAAGTTTATTAAATCTACTGTGTGCTCAGCACTGTCCTAGGCAGTAACAGGAGAAAAATTATAAAACAAGATATCAACAAGGGAAAAATAGACTCTGCACTATAATAATCTGCTATCATTTCCATGTTGCTTTCCAAAGAGTTCTTAGGTTGTTTTGGAGTATGTGGTCCCCCCTTTTCCCATGTTCCCCTAAAAGCTTCTAGCTCTGTCCAATAATGTGCCACTATGACCATCCCCTGAAGAACTGAGGGTGGACAGGAAGAGCGGCTTCCTGCTGATGAGGCAGTCAGGGGCTGCTCAGGGGGTCCCATGGCGGGGGAGACATGTTGAGAGGGGAACCATCAACCCCGAGGGCTCAGGGCACTCACAGTGAATCAGAGGAAGGCCAGACTTGGGGAAGCCACAGACAGGGCCCTGGGGCCCTCACTCACCCCCTCCTCCCCAGGGGATGTGCTTAAAGTGCCTACACTGTAAGAAAATGATGCACAGCTACTACATGCTGCCCAGGGTACCACTGGACTTCCCGCCTCCCTCTTTTCCTCCTGACTTGTGCTAACACCAGGCCCTGGCACTGCCAGGGTGAGGTCAATGGGGAAGTATAGTGCCCAGTGGGGAAATGGAGAAGGTCCAATGTATAACATATGATGCCCAAGAGGAGGCGGAGACAGAGAAGGGCAGAGAGGTATGCAGCAAAAGGGATTAGCTTGTGCTTGGCCACTGCCCCCGGGCCAGAGGTTGGTTCCCGTGTAAAGGGCAGTTTGGTTCGATACGGCTATCGGGGTCCTAAATTTTCCCTGAGGGAACAAAGCTGCACAGCATGGGGAGGAAACTGAAGACATGCAGGGCCCTCCCTGTGCCCCCCGCACTGGGCACACCCCCGTGCCTCTGTACAAAGTGCTAAGAGTACTGGTGTGTGGCACAGGGCAGGCCCAGACCGGCCGAGCCATGCCACACTTAGATGCCAGATAACCTGCAAACACACCTGCACAAAGAGCTCCATCCGCCAGGGCACGGGTGTCACTGAAGGGCCCCCCTACCTGAGTTAGAACAAGGGGCTGAGGTGCAGCCGGTGGCTCTGCCAAGATACCCGTGCCCCTGAGGGTCAGATCATGAGGATGACACAGAGGGCACCCCAGCCAGGAGGGCAAGCAGAAGTAGCAGGGGCATGACCTCTTCCCAGTGGCAACAGGGCCAGGCAGCGGTGGCCTTGGAGGAGGAGGAGGGGGCCCAGGAGCCAAGAGGGCACCCCCAATCTTGCCCTGCTCAGAGCCAGATCTCATCACTGCTCACACTGGACACTCGATAGATATAGCCCAGCATGGGGAGCTGGATGAAACCTGCAGGGGCAAAGATGCCCGTGAGACGCAGTGAGCCTCACCGCCTGGAAGTTGGGAGAGCCCTCTCTGCCCATGGAGACTCTGAGGCCTCTGGCAGAAGCACAAGGGCTGGGGAGCAGAGGAGGGGGGCCACAGGCCCATGTCCCAGTACCTCGGCTGGTGAGGAGGCCACCGGGCTCTGGGTCCAGCAGCTCTGGCCGGCTGTTATTCGGAGCCATCTGCCGGTCTGCTGGCTTCCCTGCTGGGTGACAAACGGGTATGCCCAGGATGAGGTGTGTGCCTGATGGGGCCTAGCCCCTCCTAAGTACCAGGGTCTCTCTTTTCCTCAGAAGTACCTCTGAAGATAAAGTGGGGGCAGAGGTGTACCTCTGGAATCTGGAGTGAGGTCGTTGAGCTGCAGGTTGGACGGGAGGGACATGTTCTCCCGTGGCAGGCGCACGTTGTTGAGTTTCAGGTTGTTGGAGTCACTACAGGGCGGACAGAGCCTGGGATATGCCCCGTCTCCAGCAGGCCCAGATTCCTGCTTTGGGGCCCATTCCAGAACTAGGGAGACCCCCGGTTTCCAGCTGTCCCCATGCTGCATCTCAGGTCGGCCCATCCAGCCCGCCCCAGGAAGTTACCTAGAGATCAGGGATGGGCGCCGGGAGGGGCCTAGGGAGAAAGAAACCACACACTTTCTCAGGGAGCCCACCCACTTTGGGTCTCTCCCTATGCCCTTTCAGACCCAGGACCCTCAGGCAAGGGATCTCGCCAATGCCCAGCTTTCGCTCTGGGACAGACTGGGTTCTCAGTGCCCAGCCCTGCTACCTGAGTTGCATTGGGTTTTACCCGTGGACATGCCCAGGAAGATCAGCGATGACCTGTCCTGCCAAGCCCCACGTGCTGCCCTTGCTGCTCCTCCCTCTCCTTCTCCCTGCTCCTCAGCCACCCTCACCACCCGCCCCACTGCTTTGGCCCTACCTTTGGTCTTCTTCTCTTTCCTGCAGACCAGGCAGGCCACCAAGGTGCTGAACCCCACCAGGGTGCCCAGGGCAAGCCCTCCAGCCACAACGATGCCCAGCAGCGGCACTTCCACTCGGGTGGCCAGAAGCCCTGCAAGGTGTCCTCTGGTTAGGTTCGAAGTGGGCAGGGCCCCCCAACTCTGAGATGCCAGAGACAGGTACTACTCTGTCTTCCTTGCTCAAGGTGGTCGGCACAGCTCATTCAGAAGACTCACCCAGAGGGCCCCCAGTCTTCTCATTTCTGCACTGTGATCCTGCACCCACCTGAGGCCGTGCTGGGCCAGTCGCTGGCAGTGCTCACCCGGGGCCGGAAGCGAGGCGCTGGTGACACCCACGTCGTTGGTGGCCACCACGGAGAGGTTGTGTGCCAGGCTGCTGAGCTGCAGCTGCACGGTGTGGTTGCTGAGCCAAGGGTAGTTCTGGGCATCCAGCACCAGGAAGTCAGAGGCGTTGACAGTCACCGGCCCATCCTGGTCGATCCAGGTCACATTGGCAGGTGGGTTGGCACGCACCAGGGCAAAAAGGACAACCAGGAGGCCTGGCCCCTGAGCTTCCCGGTACTTGGCCCCGACCTGGGCAATCTCTGGTTTAACTGTTGCAAAGCAGAAGCCAATATACTCTCACCACACCCCTCAAGACTCCTTGCCCTTTCTTCCCAAACCCAGAAGGGAGCCAGGAGCTTGGACCTCTCCTCAAGGGGGCACTGGGAAACAGGATGGCTGGGTCTCCCTGAGAAGCAGCATTTCATAGTGATTAACAGTAGAAACACTTGGGGCGCCTGGGTGGCTCACTGGTTGAGCGTCTGCCTTGGGCTCAGGTCATGATCCCAGGGTCCTGGGATTGAGCCCTGCATCGGGCTCCCTGTTTGGCAGGAAGCCTGCTTCTCCCTCTCCCCCTACTTGTGTTTCCTTTCTCACTCTCTCTCGGTCAAAATATAAATAAATAAAATCTTAAAAAAAAAAAAAAAGCAAAAAACAAAAACAGTAGAAACACTAGAACCAAAATGTCTCGATTTGAATCCTGGCCGTGCCTACCAGCTGTAGGACTGCAGACTTAACCAATCTGTGGCTCCGTTTTGTCATTTGTGAAATGGGGCTAACAATAATAATTACCTCATAGAATTATCCTGAGGATAATGTGAGTTAATATTTGCAAAGTGCTTAAGTGTTAAGGAGTCTATCAGACCACCTGCCTGGCGGCTGCTGGGCCCCCCTCAGCAGAGAACCTCTGTCCCTGCCCACCTCAGGGCACTCACATTGCACGTTGAGGATGACGGAGGCATTAGCTGACCGGCCACTGCCGGGGTCCTGCAAGGAGCAGTTAAGCTCATGCTGGGCCCTCTGGGCAGTAACAGTGAAGGTGCTGGTGCCTCCAGAGAAGGCCTCCCCGCCCACGCTCAGCACTCTCGAGGTGCTGGCCTCCTGCAGCTGTCCATCCAGGTACCAGGCCAATCGGGGGGTTCCAGGCCCCCCTGCCACCCGGCAGGTGAAGGCGTGCCGCTCGTTCTCCCGAAGTGCCAGCTCGGCCCAGGTCTGACCATCAATTTCTGGTGCCAATTCCCCCCAACCTGGAACACAGCAGGGGGTTCTGCGGAGAGCTGGGGGAGGGGTGGAACTGGTCTGTGACCAGCACGAGATCCAGTCACAGCAGGGCAGCAGACCAAGAGCCGGAGCACCCAGGTTCGCTGGACCGTGGGTAGGTGGGAGAGGGGAAGCCAGCTCTGGTGCTCTGGGGCCTGAAGCGGGTACCCAAACCCAAGGTGAGGGGAGAGGCGGGGGCTTGGCCAAGGGGTGAACGGGGGTGTACCTGAGCTCAGAAGGGCTGGCAGGAGCAGCAGTGTGTGCGGGAGGGCGGCTGGGCCTGGGGGCAGCGCCATGGCGGCTCAGGCCTAGGCCCCAGGCTGCCGAGAGAAGGGACGTTAGCCCCGACGTTAGCCAGGTGACCGCGGGCAGGCTCAGTAATTCCTCCAGGAACTCACTCTCCAGAAACAACAATAAACCGTGCACCGACACACAAATGGAGACTGACCCGCAGTGGCGAAGGCAAGGCCGCCCAGCGCGAAGGCCCGAGCCCACCCAGCACACAGCCGCCCAGCGTGCGGCCGCAGAACCGGGCGCCGCCCCCCGGGGACAAACAGGCGCCGGCCCGCTGGCGCAGAGACCGCGCGCAACCGCGCAGCCCGCCCGGGGCCCGACACGCGCGCGCGCACACGCAGACTCGCGGCGCAGGGCCCCTCCCCCAAAGGGACCGTCCTCCCGGCCCGTCTCTCCCTCGTCCCTTCCCCCTGCCATCTGTCGCCCCACGCCCGCTTTCCAGCCTTCGGGGACTAGGCGGAAGTGGGCCGGAGCGGCGGGGGGTCCGGGCGGTGGGGGTCGCGCGGCAACCCCGCGCCCCCCCGTCCCCCCAGGGCGGCTCACCTGGCGCCCTCCCCGCGCTCAGCACGAGCGACTGCTCAGGTCTGCGGGGCACTGCAGTCCGCGGCGGGGCCGGGCGGGGCCGGGCGGGGCCAATCAACGCTCGAGCCCGCCCGGCCCCGCCCCCGCCCCGCCCGCCCCCCGCCCCCCCGGTCCCGACCGCGGCGGACAGCGGAGTGCCCTGCGGCTGGGGCCCCGGCGGCTGGACGCAGACACGGGCGCGAGTCCGGGAGAGCCAGCAGCTTTATTGGTTCGGCTCAGCGGCCGTTACAGGGCCCGCGCAGCTGCCTCATCACGTCGGCCAGCATGCGGTTGCACAGCGCGGCGTAGGGGTTGAGCAGCACCAGCTGGCGCCGCGCGAACGAGCTGCCCAGCCGCGCCGCCCGCTCGAAGTCCCCGCGGGCGTCGTCGTTCCGGCCCTGCAGCCGCGCCAGGAGCCCGCGCTGCACGAAGCCCTGGCGCGCGGCGCGGCCCCGGCCGCCGCTCAGCGTCACGGCGCGCTCCAGGTCCTCCAGGGCGCCTGCGGGAGGGGCGAGCGGGCGGGTCAGGACCGCGGCCCCGGGGCCCGGCCACCCACAGCCCGCCTGCCCTTGCTCCTCAGCTGGGCACCGTTCCTCCCATCACCCCGAGGCCGACTGGCGAAGCTGGCAAGACCTGCGCTGGGCTGCACAGCCCGTCTATAGTGGCAGAGCTGGGAGTCCCTATTAGCTTTCAGTATCCAGGACACCAGAACACCACGCGTGCTGGGGCGATTTTGAATGGTCACTATGTTCATGAATCCGGCCCGTTGTCCAGCAGTGGTAGAGGGCTCAAGTTCCACTCGGACGCTAGTAAGCATCTATCTACCCTGTGCCGGGGGACTGACTCTGAATCTCAGAGTCTAAACAAATTATAATGTACTGGTAACCATTTCTTACAAATAAAATTCATTTCTCTTTCTTTTCCTTTTGCAGGCGTTTCTCTCCTCTCATTCAGGGTATGCTTTAAACCTGTTCTCCCTCTGACTGCCTTTCCTCATTCTTCATCTCCATGATCTTCTTTATATTGTATACAAATGCAATATTTTGTGTTTCATTAAAGGAGATCTTGGAGCCAGAGCTGGCCCCGGACATGGACATTGTTACGTTTATCATTCTCAAAATACTTGGATTGGGCATTAGAACTCTGAACTCAACCTCAGGCAGCTGGTATGTACCTTAGAGCCCAGCTGCAATTCTTCTGGGCTCTGCCTCGGTTCACTCCTGCTCTCTAGTCCGAAGAGCTGTCAGGGTCTGGAGGAGCTCCAGCATCATCCTACAGAGAGGCCCATCTTTGTCCTGTCTCTGTGTGTTTTGAGCCCAGAACCCAGCAGGGGCTGTGCTCCCCAGGCCACCCAGATGGTTAAGAAGCTCTCTGATCACAGCGGTTCTGGCTTTCCCTCCCAGGAGCTGGTCTGGAGGAATTGAAAACCTTTTCCAGGCAGCATCAGTCACCTCTGTTCCTCTCTGGGGTTTTGGTCTGCAGACTGTCCTTGCCTGCTTTTACAGCCTGGCCCAGCCCTGCCCTGCACTGCCATGCCACAGCCAGGTAACCAAGCCTGGAAAAGGGGCCTGTGGTTCCCCACTGTTCCCAGAGTGGAGTCCAAAGGCCCCAGACTGGCGTTCCTTCACATCCGTCTGCCCTCTGGTCCCCAGCATGGCCTTCTCTGTCCCATTGTCCCCATTCCAGAGTAACCCAAGTGCAGCAGGTTTGATCCAGTCACTCCCCAGTTAAAATCCTTTAACGATTCACCATGTTTTCAAGACACAGTGCAACCTCTGCCTAACATTCCCGGTTCTTCACCATCAGGTCCCTATTTACTTCTCCAGGCTCTACTCTACCCTTTCACTCCTCCCCGATCCAGCCAGCATGGAGATCTGACATTCCCTGTACCTTTTCATGCCTCTGGGTCTCTACAGGCTCCCACTCTGTCCCCTCCATCCAGCTACCTCCTACTCATCCTTTCAAACTCACCCCTCGGGGCACTTGGGTGTCTCAGGCCTCTGCCTTTGGCTCAGGTCGTGATCCTGGGGTGGAGCCCCACATGGGGCTCCCTGCTCAGCAGGGAGTCTGCTTCTCCCTCTCCCTCTGCCCCTCCCCCTCCTCTCTCTCTCAAATAAATAAATAAAATCTTTTTTAAAAATTAAAAAGAAAAGAAAACTCACCCCTCAGGGGCAGATACCACACTGAACCCTCTCAGCTTGTTACACACATAATCACAATTATGTGTCTGTCCTACCCTCTGGACTGTGAGCGTTCAGGGGCATTCGGAGCACAGACTCAAGCCCTGCCACCTGGTTCAAATCCCAGCTCTGCTCCAGGTTCTTCGTCTGTAAAATGGAGGTTACAATAGCACAAACCTTTTGGGGTGGTAGTGAGGATTAAATGGGTTACTATAGCTCACGTGGAAAGTGCTGGATGCCTGGCACGTAGTAATTGCTGTAAGTAGTCTGTCTTGCATCTCTGTCCTCAGCGCCCAGCCCACTGCTACAATAGTAGACTCTCATTAAATGTTTGTTAAATAAACGAGTGGAATGCAATCTCTTCTGATTTTCACAATCGCCCCGAGAGATTACAGGGCCCGTAAGGTATCTCTTATAAGTAAGAACATAGGTTCCAGAACAGTTTAGTGACTCCCCAGCCCCACAAGCACTTCATCTCTGGTCTGTGGACTCCAGGGCCCCCCTGCAGAAGCTCCGGGCCGTCTCCCCTCACCTGCCACATCTCCTTGGAGTCGGCGGGCCTGGGCCCGGTTATTGTAGGCAGAGGCCCTCTCAGGCAGCAGGTTGATGGCTTGGCCAAACCTCTCCAGGGCTGTGCTGAGGTCACCAGCCTCTGCGGCCATCACCCCCTGCAGCTCCAGGACCTTGGACTGCTCCATCTGTGCTCGCGGGAAAACTCCATCTGTGTTGGGGAGGGAGCCAGGAGGGGACAGGTACGCAGTTGGGAGCAAGAAGCAAAAGCTCCCTTGGCTTTAGGAAGCTGGGGCCTGAGCGGGAGCAGACTGGGCTGGGATGTGGGTCACAGCAGAAGTCGGATGCAGTGTCGTGGGCAGAGGGAGCTGAGGTCACCAAGGCTGAGAGCTAGCACTGTCTAAGTTCCAAAGGGACCTGGGAAAGGGACTTTGGTCGGCTCATTGCCAAGAGAATGAAGCCCAAACTCAGCCCATAGCTAAATGCCTTACTCAAGGTCACACAGCTCCTAAATGCACAGCTTGGATTTGAACCCAGGTCTTCCAGGCTCCTTAGCCTGTCCCCATTTTGTTCTACTAGTCTGCCTCCAACATGAAGACCACCAAGACATACTTGGGTCATGAAAACCATGTCAGCTTTTCAGACTGAAGTCTCCATAAGACCCAGGCTTCACTCCTTTAGAAACAAAGCTCATCAAAAACTCCTGATGGGGGTGGGGGTGGCGGCTGGCTGGCTCAGTCAGTAGAGCATGCAACTCTTGACCTCAGGGTCATGAGTTCAAGCCCCATGTTGGGCATAGAGCCTACTTAATTAAAACAAAAAACTCCGGATGGAGATATAAGGCCCCATTAGAGACTGAAGGGCGGGCCAGGGAGTGCATTCACTCTGTGGAGGGATTAGCTCGGGGCTGGGCTTGTAAAGGTGTGTAACACTGAGGGCTTGCTTAGGTTCTTCATGCTAAGATCGGAACAATTCAACTGAGCCACCCCTGCGCTTCCATTCCGTGTGGAGTGAAACGTCCTGTCATGACTAAGATGTGTGTTGAGCATCACCCCACCACCCTTTCCCCCAGCACAGTTGAGCTTGGATTATGGGGTGGGTTAAGTGGTGAGGTTAAGTTCAGAGGTATGATGGCTGAAGGACAGACAAACTGTGACTTGCTCCTTTTGGCAGAGTAACTCCACCAGTGCATTAAGGATCAGCCAACCTCTCGCATTCCGACCTCAATCATTGTCCATGGGTCATGGAACAAGGGGCCTTGTGAGACCACCATCCTCTGCCACCCGGCTGAGGCCAGCCGGTGTGGAGCGCTATAGTCGAAGGTCAAACTCACCTTCATCAACGTCTTCCTTCTCCACTTCCTCTCCCATGTCCAACCCAACAAGGTCTCCAAATGGGTGGTCAGGGTTGAAGATGGCCTGCAACACTGCCTGGTCATTTGGAGTCCCCATGGTGCTCAACTCCCAAGTCCCAGAAGGTGACTCAGGACACAGGAGGGAGGAAGAAGGGGTGGGGGCTGAGCCTCGCGGCCAGTTGATCTAGAGGGCAGAGGTTCTGTTTGAGGTCCATCCCCCATGAGGAGTGTCTTCCATTCCTTGGCTGTAGTGTAAACTCAACCTCATTTGGCCTGGGGTTAGCAACCCTGGCTTAGCAGAATATTTACAACAGTTCTTTTTTTTTTTTTTTAGATAAATGCATTTTTTTTTTTTTAAAGATTTTTATTTGTCAGAGAGAGCACAAGCAGGGGGAGCAGCAGAGGGAGAGGGAGAAGCAGGCTCCCCACCGAGCAAGGAGCCCGATGCGGAACTCGATTCCAGGACCCTGGGATCATGACCTGAGCCGAAGGCAGATGCTTAACGACTGAGCCACCCAGGCGTCCCTACAATAGTTCTCAACTGCCTTTCCACCCCCACCCATCTTAGGGGGAAGAGAGTAAATGAATCCAATTTCTGCCTTAGGGTGGAGTGAAGCAAAGAAGAGTGCTGTTCAGGTTCTCCCCGAAATGCTTTCATTTTCATATATTCCTAGACTGGGAGGAAATCGGCCGAAGGCCTCTTGATCGCCCACGGATAATAAAAGGGGGGCCATTGGGAGGTAAAGCTCTTTGTCTTCCTGACCCCTTCCTCATATCCGGGATTAATTAGGTCCTGAACACAAACCACTGATGAGCATGGGAGGAAGACACAGTTCGGAGAGTCAGTGTGGACTGGGGCCCGGAGGGAGGCGAAGCGGAGTGATTTAATGATTCCACCTTCAAAGAGAGGGCCGTGGCTGGTACTCTGCAATCTGGCCACCAGCCACTCGCTGCTGCTCCCCCCAACGCCCGCCGGCTCTTTTCTCCCCCCCCACCCAAAGCCAAAAGAAAGTTTGATCGTGTGCAGCAATAAACTTGACATGTTTATTAATTAAACTATCACTTAAATAAAAAAAAGTGCATAGAAAATAAACATGTTTAAAAACTCCTTTTTTTTTACAACTATGTACACTTTTTACTTTTACATTCAGTCTTTCGTAGAGAGCTTTCAGCATTATTATTTTTTGAACTATTAAAGTATTTTCCTTCGTCCCTGTCACAGGGAGTTAACACTGATGGACTTTAGACACATTTTTTCCTTTTTTTTTTTTTTTCTCTTTTTCTCTAACCAGAAGCTTGGAAGAACACAAGGAAAAAAACCAAAAGATCTGTTATACATGATAAAGTTGTCAAGAAATGTCTTATTTCTAGAAAAGAAGCTTGTCATCTGTTGAGCTTTTGAAACAATTATTCAACTACCTGTATTTACTAAAGAGACTGTTAAAAGTTCAATAAAAGAAACACCACAAGTCTATTTTCTTGGTTGAAAGACAGAACTAGAGTACCTCGGAACAAGATACCAGGAAAGCACAGAACACAATTTTCCCCTAAATGCAGGTGGTAACCCCAACATTCATAACCGAAAATAGAGAAACAAGGAGTACAGGTACTGACTGGCAACATTCATGGGCAGAAAAAATCTGGGTGACACCATTTCCGCGTTCCTCTCTGACCCTGGGAACGGACCGCGTCACCGTCCCTTTGTGGTTTGGGTCCCCCCCCAACTTCAGAGGATCCGAGGAGCGCCAGACTGACGTTTTCCTGCCACTACTAGCAACTGTAACACAATCCTTATCTATAGTGTTAAGAGAATTAAAAGCCATGGACTGAACTAGGCTTTGTTACATGGTGCATTACTATATTAGTTCCTATATATATCATATTTATATTTATTTGAAAACCAAAACAAAAAAGTTGCAAGTTTTCAGAGTGTGAGACTTGACTGGTATTCATGATTCGGCACAAAACCATCTGCTCAATAACCTTGTATTGCTTTAAAATGAAGGAAATGAAACATAAAATTACACCCAGCCCTTTGCAATGACCCGCTTTTCCTTTAAAAAGAAAGAAAACAAAACAAAACAAAACAAAAAAACCAAAAACCCAAACCCAAACTTGATTTCTAGTTAAAAAAATCCCAAATCAAACTTAAAAGTTAACATGTGATAAGGTTTTGACCTTTAGTATTTTCAGATATTTGATTGAACGTCAGTCCTTTAGAAAGATACATTCATTAAAAGATTTTTTTTTTGTTTTTTTTTTTCCTTAATGTTGTTGTATATTTTCAATCACGGGAGCTGCATGGTGCTCACTGCATTGACCGGGGGGTGCTGACAGAGGCAAGCGGGGTGGCGGACTGTATCCCGGCAAAGGAGTCTGGTTGAAAACTTCTATGGATTATAGCTGCCAGGGCTTCCCCCTTAATTCTGGTGATTGGTCTAAAAACCGGAGGGGCTATGCTGGAGGTGGTGGACGGTGACAGAGGGAGCCAAGGGACCAAGTTCCGGCCGTAGGGTCAGCGCCATGCAGCATTCTGGCTACACAGACATCACCGGCCACCAGGAAATGCGGCCACAACAGATTCTAGCAGCAAAGCTCTCCGGGAGCTGGCTCGCTCCCAGAAAACTGACCAGGCTTGCAGCTGGGACTCCTTAGGGATTCGGGGTGCCCCTTGGGGGATTCCTGGGAATGACCCACCACAGTTCCTCGGTCTGCACTTTTGTGCGGAGATTCCCTTGGTCACTTTCAAAACAAACTCAGGTGTTTTGGAGACAGATATGCCGGTTTGTTTTGTTTGTTTGTTTTTTGCCTTTTTTCCCTCTTGTAGGGAAACCTTAGCTTATTCCCCAAGTTGCTGGCAGGTATGCTGAATTTTGGCAATGGACTCAAGGCTGAGCTAGAAGAGGAATTACTCATTTCTATGGTTGACAGTTGGGGAGTGAAAAGGCAAGGCAAACCATCTGCAGCTGGCAAGAGAAGGAGAGAAGTGGGTCCCTCCCCTGGCCTCAGGGTTCGGGATTGGTAGAAAGAGAATGAGGAGGGGGCTCACAGTACAGCATGGCCTAGCAGGGCATTAACTAGGTCTATTGAGCTGAGTTTCCCCCACCCCCTGACTGGCCTTTGGGTCTTTCTCAAGGTGAATTTGTGACCCATCAGTGCATTAATCATTTCAGTAACAAATGCAGCTTAAGGTTTTTTTTCTTAAAAAAAAAAAAAAAAAAAGGAATAAAAGGATTTACAAAAAAACCTCACACAGTGCAATAATCAAGGAAACCAGACACTAGTGGAACCCCTAGGGCCACTGTATCTTGTTCACGGGCAAAGGAGGAAGGGAGGCGAGGTCTGGGTAGAGTGTTTTTCCCCAGTCCCCTGCTGGCACTTCTCCATGATGACAAGGAAGTCTCTGCCATCCTGGCCACAGTGCTGGGCTCCCTGCATGACAGCAAAAACAGTGACAATGTTCCAGCAAAGCCACCAGACACAGTTCTTAAGGTCACGGAAGAATAGGAAGCCCAGGGTGGAAGGCACAGCAGAGCCATGAGTCCTGGGGCAGAGAGCGCAGGGCTGAGTCGTATTGCTTTGCTAGACTTCCAGAGGAATGGGCTTCTTGTGGGAGAAAAGGGCGCCCTGCCCTCTACTGGACTGCACTGCTCTGAAACCCAGTGGCCGACAGAGGCAGAGAAGAATCTGCGTTATCGTGAGTGGTCAGACTGTGCTTCAGTTTCAACGGGCTGCCCCACAAGAGGGCACGGGGGGGATCCATGGGTTCTTTGCAGGTATAAGGACTTGGTGGGCAGAGGGGAAGGGGACGAGGTGACCGATGAGGCAGATGGTGAGGAAAATGTCAGGCTGCCATTCAACTTGGTTGCTATCTCGGAAGTAGGGCAAGAGGAGGGAAATGGAGATTCCAGCTCTCGCCACTCCGAGCTAGTCCAGAAGGGAGAGAGAGTGTGGGGAAGGAGAGGGGACACTGCTGTGTCAGGATACTACCACTGCCTTTTGAGGAGCTTCGACACGGGAAGGAGGGGAGTGGCCCAATGGAGTAGGGTGACCTTCCTTGTCCATTTATTGTCAAAGAGCAAACCCAGGACACGTTTATGTCAACAGGGCACAAACAAGCTACACATTAAACAACAAAAGTACACCTTCCAGGGGGAAGTTGGGCAGGAAAAACCAGACTTTGTGTGTACAGCTGAATATTTTTCTCTAACTTCATCCTATGAAAATAAAAAATTATTAAAAACCGATCTTCTTTTAAATTAGGATAATACCGCGGTTTAAAAAATAGCCTTGTCATAAGTGCTTCTCCCTATGAAGTGCTTCTCATAGAAAAATATACAAAATATATTTACATTTATAAAACCTTAAATAGTAAACTGTAAACAGAACAGAGTAAAATCCAATGACTTAATTTAACAGGTTCAGGACACCGTCTTGGGGAAAGGAGGAGAAGGAACATTTGATGCTGTTTTGACCACGTCCTAAGGAGTAATCAGGGCAGTAGTGTCATTTAATTTACTTAGCCTGTGGATTTTGCGCAGGTGGCAGAGGTCCCTCGATACAAGGTGGTCTAGTCCCCAAGTTTTGGGCCTTGAAATCTGATTAGTGTTCTGCCTTCAACTGGACACCGACCATTTAAAAATGAAGTCTTCCTATGTCTTAACAAGGGGAAAATAAAGTTACCATGTCCTAGGAATGGGGCCCAGGGGTCATCCTGGTTGTGATACTCTGGTTGTTGCATGATTCAGATCCTATTTAAATAATCGTTTTCCTCTTCTAAAAAATCATGCTACATATATTTCTTTAAAATTCTCCGTGGAGCTTTACGAAAACTCCAAATTCCGTCTGGTTATGACCAATGGCTCCTGTCCACTTCCCCACTGGGCGTGCTTCCAGGCTCAGGGGTTGTGTTGTAGGCGTACACGATGCCTGGCAGGGAGTGTCCTTGAGCAGGGAGTCACTCCCCTCTACCACCCAGAAGAACAGGAAAGCAGTGGGATGAAACAGGGGGGAATGAAGAAGGTGGAGGGAGGCGGAGGAAGAATGAGAGGGACACTGCTCCTATTGTCGAGAAAGGAAATCGGCTGAGATAAGGCTCCTGGGGGTAACACTCCCACTTAAAGCCCACAGGCTCCACGTTTGGTGATTCATTGGCACAACCCCAAGACAGTCTTTTGACACCAAAGGTGCTAAGAATCCTGTCTCCCAACCAGAAGTGAACTCTCAAGTGGGAGGATAGTAGGGAAAACCACCAGACCTTCTCTGTTTGGTCAACAGACGGCTACAGGCTGGGCCCGGCAGGCAAACTATCAGGTATCCAACCAGCTCTCTCTATCGGGGCTCCCGGCTGACCCCTCCCTTGGAGTGCTTGGGAAAGGGCCAAGGCGAGGATGGCAACTTCTCTCCGAGGAGACACTCAGGCCCCATCTCCCAACATAACGAACCCTCCACAGGCTCCTTCCAGGCAAGTCTGCCAGCGACCCCATTTCCCACTCTTTCACGGCGTACAATCAGAGGGGCCCCAGTAGAAAGCCGGCCGCGGATCTTTTCTTCGAGACCTCATCTCTCTCTCCAGGACTAGGATCACACGTCTAATGTGAATATAGGATGTAAGGGAGCCCAGCCATCACGGAGGCCCCTCAACTGTGCCCACTCAATCCTGGAACTCCTAGCTGCTGGCAAAGGCCTTCAGCATTGCTCTGGATGGGCCTGGGTCCTAGGACTCCGACACTGGGGGCGAGGAGCAGCTCTAGTTTAGGAACTTCCGGCATTTCTTGGCACCACAGTTGCAGGGTAGCTTGTTGCTGGCATCCTCGATGGGGAACTTATAGTCGTAGGTGAGCTCCTCCCCACGGTAGATCTTGCGCATAGCAAAGATGACGATGTGCTTCTGCCCGTCGATATTGATGACCCGAGAGTAGCAGTTAGGCTCACACGAGTGATTGATGAAGCG